CTGGGAAGAGGGAACAGCCAACAAACTCCACCATCTAACAAAACATTCAAGCGACCCTAAGGGGTTGAAAACTCTTCAAACTGAGAATCACATCCAAGCAAGTTATTTTATCTTATCTAACAACAGTCCAGCCATAACGTCAACCCATGTTCTAATTCTCAGAACGAACGAAGCTTGGATCAAGTTTTGGCAAGTTTTCTGAGACTATCTAGACAGACAGATAGGTAGGCAGATAGATAATATGACACCACAACATGACACTTCCCCTTCGCATATGACTTTTCGCAGCAGGAGCATAAAGAGGGTCATTTTTCAGAAATACTGGAGGGCCCCATCAATTTTCCGAAAGGCTTCTCGTAATCCTTTGATACACAAATCATTCTGGTTTGAAGCACCTGCCGTGTCAACTGGCCTGATGCTACCACATTCTCATCCATCAAATGCTATGCTTGTAATGAGAGCCGCTCTCCGGCAAAATTTTCATCCACTTTATGAAATCCTGCATCTTTTGCAAGATTTGCAATTCTGCTTTGCAAGCGTTTGCATTCTGTTTGCATTGGACTGTTGGATATTTACAGCCTCTGGCCATCTTTGGGGAGGGTGTCCAATAAAGATGTTGGTGCACTGGTGGACAATTATGCCTGTATAAAGTGGGGGGGGGGATATGTGTGTAAGTGATGAGTTTATTGGTAATTATTTTTCACATTATGACAACATTTGCTTCTCTATACAACTCTGGACACCATGAGACAGACAATGAACTCCCAGTTAAGAGGATCTCCTAAACTCTGTTTTCCAACCCTTGAATACACAGGATATCATGCAGTGTATGTTGCATTTAATCCTCTTGGCTTGAGCTAGACTAAGTTTCTGCCACAAAAACAAATATTCTTAACTAAATCCTCCAGACACTTGAGCTCTGACACTAATTTTTTTTTATTGTTTCATATGAATTATTTAGTTCAGACTCGCTGGAATTGTGTAAATGTCCAAAAATTGAGTTTGGTAATATTCTCAGTAATAATTCCTAACAGTTGGATAGCACTGAGCATGAAACAAAGGGTGTTTATAGGCATGGGGCATTCATTACATAAGAATTTATTATGCGCTCTAATGCAGTAATGAGGTTATATCTGGAAGCAAAAAGCCATTTATAATATAAAGAAGAATTCATAAGTGGATGGCCACTTATAAAATTAATTCCCATTCAAACCTCGTTTCCCACAAAATTGACATAGTTGGTGACCTAGAGGAGATAATTTCAAATCCTTGTCCTCAGTTGCCTCATGTGTCAATTGCAGACAAAACTGGCCCGAACTGAAGATTTGTACATTACCTAAGATGAAACATGGTAAAGCTTTTTAAAATTAAAGTCAAAAGAAAGGTGTCTGAAAGCAGACCACCGCTGTCTTTGAACATCAGTTTTTCTTTTCTACCGTGTTGACAGAACTGTCGGACTCGAGGTGGGCTGCCCATTTCCAGCCTCCCTTGCAGCTAGGGGGGTGTATCTAACAATGGGATGGAGACAAATGTGTGCGATTTCCCAGCCATGCCCTTCCAGCCTTCACTGTCCTCTTTCCAGCAGCTGAACTACAGGCTTGGTGGTGAAATACCTTGAAAAGTGTCAACAGTGAAAACACCCTAAAGGATGGTGATCAGAAAGAGACAGAAGGAAACCAAGGCCATGAAAACTCCAAGGTTCAGAGCTGCCACACCAGCCAGCACAGTCCCTTACATGCAAAAGAAGTATCTACCTCATTTAAACTACCTTTATTTGGAATTGCTCCTTAAGCAGCTGAACTATATCCTACCTGAGATAGTGTCTTTTCCTTTTACCTGCCACACGATTGAATACACTTGCATTATGCAACTCCACGTGCAAGACAGAGTAGAGACAGTATGTGGGTTGTGAAGTCAGGCTAACTTTCTCCAAGTCCAGCTCCACCACTTCCTGACAATGTGATTGATAAGCAAAAGTGATTTAACCTTTCTAAGACTTGCATTGCTAATCTATAAACTGGGTATAATGAGAGTAGCTACCTCATAGGGTTGATGCAAGTTTTAATGGGATAAGGTGGAATGAGTTATTGCACAGAAAGCACTCAGGACCAGGACCTATCAAGCATTCAAAACACATTAGTTCTTATTATTACAGGGAAAGGCGTTTTCAGAGCTGGAGGAAGCCCCAGTGCTAAGTTCAGTTTGGGGATCTAAAGCGAAGGCGATGCCACTGTGAACTCATTCAAGTTTTTGCTCATCCATTAAGTGGATGTCCTTCTGAAACATGAACTTACTTTATCTTTGGCAAATTCCCAAATTTTCAGATTAAAAGAAAAAATTGGAAGGCCATGATCTCTTATTCACTTTGATTTGGGAGATGGGTGTCAAGAACATAGGTGGTGCCAGGCAACAGTCAGCATCCACATCTTTCCAGGAAAGCAAGGACTATGCAGGTCCCATTTCCACTTGTGCCAGCCCTGAATCGCCTCCAAATCACAAGAAACTACATTTCCCAAGCTCCTTTGCCTTCTAGCTTCCTGCCAGGCTCAGCCAATGGGAGGCACTGATGGAAGACTAGGGGGAGGGGAGAGGAAGAAGCCCAGGGTATTTCTCACTCCGCCCACCCATCCTGCTTTGGCAGCAGCAAACTGACCTTGGCTCCACTTGGAGGTCTTGGCTCCTGGGTTCTGGTGACCCAAGCTTCTCTTCTTGTCCCTTTTCCCTAGAGGTAGTAGTAGTGACTTCCTGCGGTTAGTAATCTCTGAGTTGCCTCACCTTCCCATTTGCCTCTTCAGCTCTTCTATCACCTAGGGATTCAATTCCCTGCACTAAATTCTCTGTTTGAAGGACCTTTCATGATGTCTGTGTTCAGTCCAGACTCTGACAGATACAACACACTAACTCCAGTGCTGAATACATAGCCTTGTATGTGCAGGGGATTCGATGCACATTTGTCAAATGAATAAATACTGGGAACAGAAAGAGGCTAACATAATCACTCTGAATTTGGTCCTCTGACCATCCTGAGGAGCTGCGAGGCTAAAAGCACCTCTTATGGGGAACTCACCTCTGCTCGCAAAGGCTCTCAGCTGGCTAAACCACTGAATATAGCAAACCATTCATCTTTCAAAGCCCTCATGATACTCTCCTCCCTCAAAGTTAGTAAATCTTGAACTTCCAAAGGCAGTGAAGAATTTCTTCTGGAGACCTTCTCATTATAGGATGATCCAGCTGAGAGCAGGACAGATGAGGGGAGCAGAGGAGAGGATGTAGGGGGGAAAAAAAAAGCACTTCTCTGAGAAGCTATTTATCTCCAGACAGCTACGACATGACTGGGGATCGGCACAGTATTTCAATATTTGTAAATATCTGTTTGGCCCCAAGAGTTCTCTCCCATGGAAACAGCTAATAAAGCAAGCTGCCTGAGTTTATTCCTTCTGCCAAGGCACATTCCAGAGTCTGATTACACTGCTGTTTTATTATGGAAAAGAAGAGAGAGGGAGAGAGAAAGAGAGTGCGAGGGATCACGGAGGTGACGGGAAACTCAGAGTTGAAAGCAGGAACGCTAGCCCTTCGGTTAATGAGGCTTTTCTCTATAGAGAGTCAGACAACCAACGAAGACTGGAATCAGCCCCAGCCCCTCGACTTGGAGTTCCAGATTGTCTCAGCACATCTGGCCAAGCAAGTGCATGTTACCAAGTCGCCAAACAAAACCCGGAAGGGGTAAGGAGAAGGCGCTCTCTCCAAGAAAGAACCCCCAGATGATTTCAGTGCTGCTACCGTCTGCGGACCACACTTCAAGTGACAAGGCGGTTTTTTCATCTCTCGTCTATGTTTGACAGTCAGGAAGCCCAGGACCCAAGCACTGCGGTGGTTTCCACACGGTCATAGCTAAGGCACATCCCAATAGGACAGGGGTCCAACCCAAGTTCCACCAAAATACGCCACCTTTCCAAGACAACACGTTTCCTCCAAATGCTCAAGTGGGTTCCCTGGAGTCTTCCCGGAGGATTATTTGACTTGTCTTATTAATGCTTTGCTTTTTTTTAATTTCTCCCAAGCCAACAAGCCCACATGACTTTTTACTTTCAGTATCACTATAACTAGAATCACACACACTCTTAGACTTGGAGGTGACTTTGACGTGCAACCCCATCTATAACAACAATAACAGTATTTGCTATTTATCAAGCACCACCTGCATGCCGCGTGCATTGCCCTATGTCTTTTGCCTACTTTTTCTCATGAGGCAGCCCCGACTGAAGTGTTGCCCACAATGCTGATCCCACAGCATACTCCACAAACTGAAGATCCTATGGTCCAAAGGAAGTTGCATAACTGTGACCTACTGGATTCTTCTCAGGAGCGATAAAAATCACAAGATGCATGTGCACATGTGACAGGCTCCGGGATGTTCTACAGTTCAGAAAACCACTGAAGGGCTTTATACAAAGTTATTTCCCCAACATCTCCATCCATGGAATTCTTATTTCCTGAAATCCAATGAGCACCAGGCCACCACTCTAAACCAGCGAGAAAGCTCCGTCTTGTATTATATATTCCCCAGCAAGTTTAACCAGGATGGAGAAGGTGTCTAGTATCTTAGAAAGAGTTTTCAACAATCCATTACTATAGAGGAGCTGCCTAAAGCTTTCTTAACTGGGGAAAAAATGACGGTTGAGAATCCCCCACCCTGTTAAGAGATTTAAGATGCTCTAAATGAAGTTTCCAAGTGGACGTATGGAATCTCTTCAAACACATCACTCACTCCTCACCCCCCCATTCAAATCAGCCTCAGATGCATTATAATCGATATTTAAACAACTACAAAGGTAAAGGCTGACCCCGAGCGTCCTTCCCGCGCGTCCCTACAGTCCATTCGAGATATTATCTGTGAGGAGTAAACAGGCCCGTCCCAAAGCCTCGGCCACCCCGGTGTGATATCACACAGCTGCTCACAGGCTGTGGCTACAGCTCCCATATTTCTCCCCTCTCCTTACTTAGAACAAGTCCAGCTTCCTGGCGGGGGGGGCTTCTCTTTGAAGTTCAAGGGAGCGCTGTGGATGGCGTGTGTGGGAAGGAGAGCCCACTCCTCTCTCATGGAGAGCATCTCTTCTGTGAGGACTCAATCTTTCTGGAACAAGAGGTACCACTCAACACCTGAAATAATGAAGGCAGACACAACAGTAACCCACATGGTATTTCTAAAGCACTTACTAGGATCAAGCCTGGTACCAGATACCGTCTGGTTCCGGGGCTTACTAGAAGGTAAGGATTGTAATGGTTCCGTTTTTACAGATGGGCAAACTGAGGCTCGGGGAGACTTCGTGACATGTCTGAGGCCCCAGTGCAGGGGAACGGTGGAGTTCAGTTTTCTTTTGGTTCAGGACTGATATCTTAGTTCCAAAACTTGGGCGAGAGCAGGTTCCTTTGCCGACCGAGGGGCAAGGAATGGGTTCTCCAGGGGTCCCCCTTACCCTGGAGAACGCAGACTTGGTAGCTGTGAGTGGAAGGAAAGTGAGCTCTCACCTGTCCAAGCAGGAGAGGCAGGCGCTGACCGGGGGGGGGGGGCAGGGGGAGAGGGAGGCAGGGGCTGGGTCCTGGCAGCTGCACGTCCCCGTGGAGCGCGAGTTCACTTCACCAGCTCAGGAGAGGGAACCCTGGGGACTGCAGGTGTAGCGGCGAAGACACACAACACAAAGTCAGGACTGATCAAATAAGGTGGAACCTCCAAAAATAATGCAGAGGGAGTCAGACACTTTTGTGATGCATTGTGCATGAACCAACACATCTTTCTTGAGTGCTCCGTGGAACCTGAGGTGACCCAAGAGAGAACAAGGTGGAAGCTGCAGTATACGGCAAACCCTGGTTATTTTCACAGCACCCTACTGGACACAGAGGCCAGCTCCACCCAAGAGCACGAACACCAAAAAGCAAGGACCGTCGGGGGGCTGTCCTGGAAGCTGCCTACAGCACGCACCTACTAGTGCCACGAACAGCGGTAGGTGTCTGAACAATACAGAGCTCCCAGTCTAGTGGGGGGTGACAGCCATCACTTACATAATCACACAAAGAAGTATGTGATTGTGCAGGGAACTTGGTGCTAAGAGATAAATTACACGATTCTCACAGAGAAGAAGCCCAGCCCTGCTGGGAAGGTGTGGCCAGGGTCTCAGTTTCTGTCACTTATTTTTCTATGTGCCTTTGGGCAAGAATTCAAGCCTCTTTCAGTGTCATTAGCCTCAGCTGAAAAACGGGGACAACGGGGGACAATGTCAGTGGCTGCAAAACTATCGGACACACTCCACGTTACAAGATGGCTATTTCTAGAATGCAGGGTAACACAATTAAAAAGCTTTCAGTGTTTCCAGAGAGTATTTTGGTGCAGGCAGGGCTGTTCTCAAGGCTTCCTTTGCTAATTTTGTCATCAGCTTTGTCAGAGCTTTTATGTATTCATTCAACAAACATTTATTGAGCATCTATTACATGCTCTGGCCCCTAATTCCCTCAGTCAGGCACTGGTAATACATCGGTGGAGTCTATGATCTTTGTAGGGCCAGCATATGGGGGAAAGTAAGATTCAGCCAATTTGGCCTGTTTTCACTGAGGGTGTCCTGACATCACAGTAGATCCCAGGTATTGCTCAGCATAGTAACCAAAACCGGTCAGAAATTCCAGTAACAGAAAAACTGAATAAATCACCTGTTAACACGGAAGCCGGCGGACAAGGGAGCATGTGGGCAGGGGCATCTCCGGGCAGTGGGTTGGTCCCCTGATATTTTCCCAACCTGTAGCATCACTGTATCCCCATTTAGTGTCGGCCCTGGCTGCAGTTAACCCTGGTCCCTGCTCTTGTTTCCTCAATTTCTTCCCAACTGAAGCCACCGTGGCCTCCAGAACTGAGTGAGAATAAATTTCAGCTGTTTTATGCCACCCCACAATACGGTTCTTTATCACAGCAGCCCCAGGAAACAGACACCATCCACGAAGTTTGGAAAAGAACTTCAGATTGATTTCTCACCCAATGTTTCCATTTTACTGATGGGAAAACAGAGGAGACCCAGAGTGGGGAAGACACGTGCCTAAGGGCACCAAGGAAATGTGTGCCCAAGCCGGGCCTGATCTCCCAGCCCAGGGCTTGGAAGATACAGTTCTCGTTTTTGCTCCTCGTCATCACCCGGCCCCGGCTGGCCTCAGTGCTGTTATCATTTATCATTTCTGCAGGAAAGAAAAGGCTCAGAAACCTGTACGTTTTTCCAGCTCCGCCAGGCGGCCTGTTTTTGCTGGCTTTGCATGAAAACGGCCAGGCCGCTGGCTCAGCAGGGTAACGGGCTGACTCAGGAGGTGATGTGAGCCATAAGTACAATGACAAACGACCCCGGGAACGGCGCTGGGCACAGCCTAGGCACGTGGGCCAGGACACCGCAGCGTGTCCAGAGCATCTGCGAGCGCCGTGCGGCCTCCCGAGGCAGCGCGCTGCCAGGGTGCTGCTGAGCCCCGTGCGACTTCCACGGCCTCTGCACCACTCCTCGAAGGGGAGGCAGAGGGGAAGGAGGGGAGGAGGGAGAGTTTCTGCTCCAAGACCTCCGTTTTAGGACACGTAATTACTGCCTTTCCAGCCAGGTCTGATTCAAAGACGCAGAGTTCTCGACCTGCCCCCGAAAACATGAGGGACGACCTGGGTGACAATGGGGGATGGAAGGAAGGGCTGAGTCCCGCAGCCTCCAGGACTGGAGCCAGATTGGAGGGGACCAGGGCTATGAGTCAGCCCCTTGGAGGGGGCCAGGGGGTGGGCCCCCAGGCCAAGCACTGACAATGGCCTCCCCTCACCTCCAGCCATGACGCAGACCTTAAGGAAAAGAGAGAGTGTGCCTTCTGCCCACCCTTGTAGCCTGAGCATCTGGTTCGAGGCACTGGGACACCGCCCTTACTCGGGGCAACCCAGGGGGCCCCTGGGCGGGCCAACGGAGCGCAGTGTGCTCAGGCTGACCCCAGCTTCCAAGTCAGTGGCAGCCAAGCTGCAATCCTAGAACAGAGGCTACTTTGTTGTGGGACACATTCCATTCTCCTCTCTAAACTTCAGATACTGTGTTTGTAAATGGGAGAGAGATGCCTTCCCTGAAGGGTCACGACGTGGAGCCCAGAAGATTTCGCGGTGGACCCTGAAATCAGACCACCAGTGGACCTGGATGCAGGCGCCGCCACTTGCCAGCTGGGGAAGCTCTGGGATGACGCCAAACTCTCTGTGGCTCAGTCCTCTCATCCCTGACACGCACAGGCAGTGGATGCTGTGTGGACACGCCCGCACCCACTCCACACCAGTCCCAGGCAGCCCAACCCAATGGCTTCCAACTGCGAGCATCTGCAGTCCTTCGCCAGAGAGGTTTCTTTGAGCCCAGGGACCCACGTGGCTTGCACATGGGGTAGGCTAGGAGCGCCAGGAATTAAGACTCCGAGAGGAGCCCTCCACCCACCGTGACGGCTAGAATTGACCCAGAACTACCCCAACGCCCTTGCTCTCTGGTGAGACAACACAGCGCATCCTGTGCGCTCCTCCTAAAGACCCCCATGGAGACGTCGGCCCAGGTGCCCACTGTAGGGACACTGATACTGTCAGGCAAGCCTTGTGGCTTCACTGGCTTCTTCCCTTTGCAGTCTTACTTTCTTATGAAGCATCCTGAGATCTCCCACATCGACCACTGACACTCAAATCGTGTCCCAGGGTCTTTCTCCAGCAGGATCCTGATCTTAGCACTGCCTCATACTGCTGTTGTGAGGATTAAATACTTGAGTAGACTCAAAGTTCTTAGAAGTCACGATAACGCTGGTCTGAGACTGGAATAAGTTGGCACGTGGCACGTATCAAGCATCCTAGCATAGTTAGCAAACACTAAACCACGGCTGTGTCATTGTACAGATGTGGAAACTGAGGCTCAGAAGTCATAAGTAACCTTCTCAGGGCTGCATTCAGTAATGGGTGGAGCTGACATGGAAACCCTGACTGGTCCGGCTCCTCATAACATCTTTATCGGGAGTAAAGAGAGGCAAGACAGTGGCCATTAGGACAGAGTCATGTCCACCCCAAGCCTCTCTTCTCCTTGGTCTACTGAGAACCCAGAGGCTTGAACAAAGACAGCTTTGGCGTCTCAAGCCCGACAGATAAGGGGCACACAGAAACAAAGCTGTGTCTCTAAGTCCTGGCCATTGACCCTTCCCCCAGCCATCCATCATCCTGAACGGGAATTTTATGCGCCCTATACGCCAATCACCTCTTCAATTACCTCTCGGGAGGAGGGAGAGGCCCAGTGGCATCTGATGTCACATTTGATTTAGGGTAAGTCACACTTAAGAGGGCATGTGAGGTTAAAGAACAGGGAATTCTGGGCCTGTTTATAAATCAACAGGCTTGAGGTTTTCATTATTCACCTTCTAGAGCATGGAGCAATGTGACTCACTGGATCATAAAAGAGATCAAATAGCTTTGTTGCTAATAATTCTTTCCCTGACCCATTCTCTGGCACATTTGGTTTGTAAACAGAGTTTTAATGGCATCCCTTGGACATAATAACATCATTTCTTTACAGCACCTTGGCCGCCTCGCCACTCTTGGCTGTAATTGGGTTTAGGTTTAAACCTCCCTCATTTGTGGGAGCTAATGTTGTTTGGTGTTTTAAGGACTACTTAAGGCCAGGGGGATTGCCCTCTGAGAGGGTGGAACCAGCCCATTTCAGAGCACAGCACTCTGGCGAGTCTGGCCTGGAAGTCATAGCCTTCCCCCCAAAGCCATCCTCAGGACCTCAAACTCTGAGATTCGTCATTCCTCCCCTGACTCCACATCTCCAGGGAAACGCCTTCCTGCGAGGGTCCTCGGCTACCTCCAAGTTGGTCTCTAAAAGCGTCAGGAGTGTCAAACAAGCGCTTGGCGCCAAATACGGTTTTATGGGTAAAGACAGGATTGTTCATTAACTAACCATCACGCAGAGATGCTTTGGGCTCTGAGGCAATCAAAGGGCAGCTTGGTGATCACTGAGCAGAGCAAGGAAGAGAACGAGAAAAAAAGACTTGCCGGATCATTAAAGGGATGGAAAACACATTCCTTTAGGACGGGTTCTCCCCAACTTCAGTCATTTCTGCAACCCTCCACAATTTAAGCCAGATCT